ATCAGTTATTGATTGGTTATCCACGTTCCCCACTCTGTGTGTGTACAAACGTGCCAGCACACACAAATTCCACAGCTAAAAAGCTCCTGCTGAACTTTAGGGACTTGCTCCCTACATCTCATATTTTATAAAATATTATTTTGTTAAAAATATATAATTTTATCTATTATTTTATAAAAAACCTCCTAAAATACACCTGGAAGTTCAAGCACATTCTGTCAAACATCAGTTATCGTCAGTGACCAGAAACCAAAGCACTTAGATGTCATTAACCTCATAAGTCATTACACAGTTGTGACTACAGGGCCAGAAGTCAGACCCCAAACATCCTCCAAGCCCAGGCAAAGCAGGATTTCATGTTCACACATGGCAGAGGCTCCAATTCCCAGCAGCTGAAGAGTCTGGGCCTGAGCACTCATGCAAGGAAAGCTCCTAAATAATGCACAGCACTCCTGTGAGTTAGTGCTGAAGGCACAGGCTCTGTCAGCATCCCCAGGGCTTGGATTCCAGCAGCAGCAGTGCAGGGAGCTGTCCTGGCAGGCTGGAATACAAATTAGAGTCACTTCAGACTGTTTCAACAGCCCTGGGTTAATAATGGGAGTTGCTGGCTTTGTGACATGGAGAAGGAGGGGAGCAGGGGAGAGATCCAAGCCACTCTCAGATGGGATGCAGCTGCCCAGTTACGTAATTTTTCAGAGCCCAGACAATCATTTTATGGCCTGGCCTCCCTCCAGAGCTGGGTGTCCACACTGCACAGCATTAAAGCCTCCCCAAACAACCCCAAACTGGCTTAGAGATCCCTGGGACGTGAGTGCAGAGGATGAACTCGGCCAAACACAGCTCCAAGATCATCCCTCTACCAGAATAAACTGTAAAATTAGGGATATTTGTGCTCCCTCTGGCTCACACCCAAAGGCATCACAGTTGAGGTTTCCTCCCACAGTGTGTCCTGCTCCCCCCACCCTGACCCTGCTGCCATCACCTCCTGGGGCTCCCTGGGGTGGTTCTGCAGGTGATGGGAACTGCCCAAATCCCTCAGATGTGGGGCAGGAAGGGAAGGGCAAAGGAACCCACGTGTCCCTCACACAGAGCTGCAGCTCAGGGGCTCTCACTCACCAGCACAGGACAAGGGGAAATCCCAGCAAAGTGGAAGAAACTCCTTCCCCACAGGAGTGTGATGAAATCCTTTGGGAGCTTTTGCCTTTTTAGCTGGAGAGACAAGCAAGCATTGAATGATCAAGGTGGCAAAGGGCACGCAGAGGTCTGACATGGAGATGGTTCAGATCAAGAGGCTTCTTTGCAAACCTCACCCTGCAAAAGCAAGTGAACTGCTGCTCCTGCCAGTGCTGCTGCTTGCCCTTCAAAACATGAACAGGGAGGTGAAATAGTGTATTAGTAAGTTAAACTATTCAGAATCAGCACGAGGGCAGGGAGGTTTTGCAGTTCTCAGCAGTTGTACCACTCACCTTAGCTGCCTGTTTTGCACCACAAACTGTACTTGAGGAGGCTGGTGGAAGGGCAGAGACCTGACAGAGTAATTTGGGCTCTAAGGGCAAGGAGGATGCAGCTGATACACTGCAAAACAGGCCCAAGGGTTTTCATTTATATTTTTCAGTGGAGAACGAGAAATCAGCCCTGTTAATTCAGGCTTCACAGCTTGGAGAGGAACTTCCACTTGCAGAGGATCAGAGCTGAGGTCAGGGGCTGCCTGGCTCCCATCTGGTATTTCTGGTGAAGTTACTCGTGGTGCACAGAGCTGTGACAGGCTTCAAAGAACAGGAATGATCCTTTTGCTTATGAAAGTTTAACCTCCAATTCTGATAAGCTGTTCCTTGAAGTCTATCTGTAATTGCTCCATTTCCTGCCAGCACGTCTGATGCTATCACTTGATTGAAGGAAGCCATGGGAGGAGGGAGATAGAACAGCTCGACAGAGTCAGTTTTTAATTCCAACATCACTTTTTAGAGCTGCCACTGAACCAGCCTGGCCAGTGCATCTCCCTCATTTTCCACCATCTGAGTGTTCTTGGCTCTTTGGCCTCCCTTTAGAACTCAGTCATAACTCATTCCCTGGGCAACTCTCACCCATTTCCCGACAGCAGGAACCTGGGACAAGACTGGCCAAGCTTTTCAGGATGCAGTGGGTTAAACATATGCCTGATGCAAGAGGCAGATGAAATATAGAATTGTTCAATTAAGTGCTGCAGTCATCCTTGGCAAGGCTCCCAGATCTCTCATTAGTGCAAACGGGTGTCCATCACTCCCAGAGCTGTCACTCCTTGAATACTTATTGTTCATTCAAGGCTCGGATCCCCAGCAGGCAAAGAACAGCAGCTATTTCATCACTTAAACAGCTCCTGTGCTCCAAAAGAAAACCTGCAGGGGCCTGAAGGGCCCAGAGGAAACGTGGTGCTCTTAAGGGGAGCTCAGTGTCTCACCTCAGGACTCCTCCCCTCACCTGTTTTTTGTTGCTTTCAGAAAGAAACCAGTGCTAAATTCTCAAACACAAGGAAACCACAAAGGCTGAATTCTCAGTGGCTCCAGGAGGTGGATGGCCTTCAGCTCCAGCAATCCACCAACTGTCACTTTAATTCTTCTACTGCCACAAGGTGGGATGAACTTTGTCCCCTCAAGCCCTTCTGAAGAAGATAAGGTGAGGTGAAAGACCCTCTGGGTATTCTGAGCACCTTCAGTGCACAAGAGAACACAGAGCAAAAAAACCTTGCAGTTATAAAGCCTCAGGAATTTTAATTGTCAGATGTTGTCAACCATTTATTCTAAGTCTTGTCTTGCTCTTCCCATGGGATTAAGCAACAGCTTGAGGGAGCCAAGGATCAAATGTGATTATTCCCATTGGACCTTGTTTCAGTTTTGCTTATAATATCACAGAAAGTAAAGCAGTAAAACAAAGATAAGGAATCTATGGTGGAAGATCCATGGAAGTTGAGATAAATACATGCAGTTACGTGTCATTCCAGTGTGACTCACTGTGCCAAGCACCAGCCAGGGGAGAGAAGGAGCTGCTGCTGCTCCTCACTCACCAGGAATCCTTCTTGAGCAAAGGAGACAAAAACTACCTATTAGAATTCTACAGATCTTAAAATACATCCATTTTTATAAACAAGGACTTGGGATTTCTGTGCTGGTTCTCCCCCACACCACAGTGAGGATCAGGGCAGCCCTCATTCCCATACAGGAAGGCAGAGGTGCTTCCCTGCTGGACAGCACTGGGATCACAGTGATCTCAGCATGAACACCCTGTCCATCAAAATATCTTCATTAGTGACTCCAGATCCCAATTCCTACTTAGAGCAGAGGAGGAAGGCTGGGAAGAGCGAGGAGTCGGGGTCAGAGCTGTGACAGCGCGTCAGAAATACTGAGAGGGAGCTCAGAAATATTGGGGGAGACAAGCAGGGAATTACTGAGGCTCTTCATCATCTCCACCACTACTTCCTAACCAAGAGCTGGATTTGAAGCTGTCCAGCAGACCCTGCTCCAGGCACCAGTGGCTATTTTTAACCTCTCCATCCCCACTGGCTCAAGCTCCTACACGGAACACTAGATAAGAAAATCCCTGTTAAAAGTAAACAGGAGGAAAAGCCTGGTTTGTTTGCAAGGCTTTATGGAAAAACCACAACATCCTCAGTGAGCTCTGGAGGCACAGGGAGGGGGGTTTCCATGGACCAGGAACTCAGCCCAGGCTGCTCTTGTCACGCCCGTTTTCTCTGCTCTGAGCACCCATTTCCCGGGGTTTTCCATGTTTTCCACCACCAGATGGAGCTGCCCCGTGTGTGCTCCCAGAGACCTCAGCGTGTCACCACCTCCATCCCTTTCGACCAGACTTTCCCCTCCCTTATCTCCTCTGCCGTTTGAAAAATCTGTGACATCTCCTCTGGGCACTCCCAGCTCCCCAGATGACTCCCCATCTCTCGGGGTCAATCACTGTCTCACTGCACTCAGCTCCAGCAAATGGCCTGATGAATAATTGAGGGAGGAAGATTCTCTTTGTTCTATTTTATGACAAAAACTGTCTTGGGTTGAGGCAGGAATTACTTGAATGAGTGTCGTGCAGGGCCTGTGTTTCCAGAGGGCGAGTTTTCAGCAGCCAGCTCTGAGCAATGAGAAGCTCACCCAGGTTTTATTCACATTTCTGTTTTTCCCAGCTAAGTGGTAATTTTACAAACACTGACTAACTATCTCATACATGCTTTAAAAGTACTCCCTGGAGACCTTTTAGCATTGACATTTGAAGAAAAAGCTGAGTAGGCAGTTGCAGAATAATTCAGCTTGGCTTTCCTTTAACGAGCATACTTTGAATGGGCCCAGATTATTAAAGAGAACATCAACTCCTGATCTGGGATCCCACAGTTTGTTAATATTTGAAGCTTTCCTGCTTCCACTGAACTGATTTAAGCCCCAGAGCAAGTGGTACATGAGGAAACGTCCCTGGTCTGCATGAAACATGCCCAGGGCACAGGCTCAGCAGGCAGCAAAGCACAGCTCCAACCCCGTGGGCAGGCCAGGAATGTGCCAGTCCTGCTCCAGCCCCTGCCAGGAACTGCACATTGTCCCAGCAGCTTCCTGGAGAGAGGCTTTAACCAGAGCAGTTCAGCCTGGAACTGCATCCAGCCACCAATGGGGGGTCCCAGGAGTTTGGAGACACTTTTCAGCCCAATTTGGGGGTTCCTGGGGTTTATGGGGACCCTTTATCACCCCTATTTGGGGATCCTAGGTGAGGGGAGGACCCTTTTCACCCCGAATTTGGGGGTCCCGGGGTGTTTTCTGGGACCCTTCTCACCCTGGATATGGGGGTCCAAGATGTTAGGGGTGAAAAGGGTCCCCCAAAACACCTTGGACCCCAAAACTGAAGGTGAAAACGGTCCCCAACAGCCCCTGAGACCCCAAACCTGGGCGTGAAGGTCAGGATCAAAGCCCTCATTCTCTCACCCCAGTGACTGATGGAACATTCTGGTTTACCAGTGGATCCCTGGATACAGGGAATTCCCACGGGACAGGGCCATTTGGGGCAGGAGGGACAGGGAATGCACTAAGCCTTCCCCTTTCTACAAGAGTGAAACTGAAATCTATGGTTTAATTTTTCCAAACTTTCTCCTACAGCCCCAACACAGAACAAACTCAACTTTTCACATACTTCAGAATTATGACACAGTGGAGTGTAAATCCAGCTCAGACCCACAAGGAATCCACGTTTAAATCACAGGCAGACTCTGAGGATGATGAGAAGGAACACAGACCATCATTGTGCAGAACCAGCCAACTGCTGCTGCAACTTGTTCACCAGTCCCTCCTTTTCTTCTGTCCCCTCTAATCTGAACTCATGGTTACACCTCCACTACAAAGTGTTAATCACAAAACCACGCAGGATCCTGACTCGCCTCAGACCAAGTCCCACAGAACTCAGCATGGGTGACAGGTTTTATTATTCTTTATTTACTCTGCCACTTCCCAGAACCCAGATTATTCTATTTTTAGCTCTTACAGGGCATGATTCAATCAGTCACTTTAAGTGTGTCTCACAGCTGATTTCAAACACTCAGGGCACTTAATGCCCAACTCACTTTTTTTTTTCCCTACTGGCAGTAGAACTTCAGATCTTTTAAAATACATTTAATTCACTAAGAAATTAAAGGCCACGTTGGGCACAGAAAATATTATAAGTCCTAACTCTGGGTACTGAGGTTGAGAAATCTGTTCTCTCTTCCTCCACTCCTCCTTCCCTGCAGCTCCATGAGAGGATTCCAGCCCCATGGAAGTCCTTTATGTTACCAGGACCAAGCAACTGTGAATCCCTTTTTAAATCACAAAGTTTCATGTGTAACAGAACCCTCTCTGTAATAAGAGCCAGCTGCAACTGTTTGCATTTCAAATAAATCACAAAGGGCTCCACAAGGCACAAGAAATCACTGTCTTGGCAGGTATTTTATGGCCAGCATGGGCAGGACACAGTGATGTAACACATGGATTAAGACAGACCATGCCTTCACTGATTTTATTACAGACCAGACAAAGTCACACGTGAGATGTCTGTTGGAATAAAAATATTCCACACGTGTGGGGGAAAAAAACCCCAGTTATACCATTTGGAATTGGAAAAGACAGAACTGGAATTCCCAAATTTAAGCATTTCCAGCCATGAGCTACTTACCAGTGTGTGGAGTCCAAAGGCCCAAGGCTGGCAGTCCATGGCTGCTGGTTAAGTCATGTCACCATCATATTTTCCATACCCACAGCTTTTCAAAGCTTCTCCACTGGGGCTGAGAATTTCCATGTTTGGTATGAAACCAAGCCATGGCACTGGAATTTCTCTTGGTCGATGCAAAAGGAGGGAAAATACACTTTTGTTTGGGTCAGAACAGGAGACTTTCCTCACTGAAAATGCAAAACAAACCCCTCAAGTTGACCGATGCCACGCTGTTAAACCAACCGCTTTTCAACACCTCGTGTCAGGAACCTGCTCCTCTGGGTATGAAATCCTTCCTTAAAAGAATTATTTTAGATAAAATTCTGCCCTGTGGGGAGTTTGTTCTTACTGAGCATGAAAATGGCACTGACTTACCCTGCTCAACACCTACAGCAAGGACAACTGAGCTGCTGGGGCCAGGTCCTCACAGGGCAATAACACAAGATTTCCACTCAACTCTCTTCCTATTAAAGGACACAAAAGTTTTAAGAGAAGTTACTGAGCATTTTGCTTTGATCTCCTTCTTCAGGTGTTGCACTCACATCCCACAAGGCATTTTTGGGATGGGTACCACATGAACCACAGTGGCCACCTGCATTTGGAGTTACCTGCACGAACCATTAACAATCCAAGCCATCTAAAAACACCAGACCATTTGCTTGGGGACATCATTCCCTCCTCTTGCACGTTTTAATTTCACAACTCCAATCCTGCCACAGAAGCTGTTTTGTGGGTTGAACAATAAGCTGCAAAACAGATCAGTCAAAACTCATGTCAAACTGCTTTATTACATCTTAAATAACATTACATTTTAATATAGTATCTATCTTGCATCCAGCTTTCTTGAAGTACACTGACTTTAAAATTAAATACAAAAGGTGAAGAGGGATACAGGGCGTGGAGAAAGCTCTACAGAGTAGTTTCATGAAAGAGAGTAAGAGGGAATTCATCTTTTATGCCAAATCCAGGCCTAACGCACAATTACAGCACATTTTTGTACAGAATGTTGCAGAAAAAACAAAATGGAGAAAAGCTACTACTGCTGCTAGGAAGGAGCATTTCTGGATACAGTGAGAAGATAGGAAAGTTTAACAGAACAATCTGCTGTCCAAACACTGCTGCTTTTAACATTTTATTTGAAAAGAAAGCCAGGAAAACCTGCTCATTACAAAAATGACTCTGATCAGATGCAAAGGACTCATCCTGCAAGAGGAACTGGCTGTGAGGAACTGATTTTAGAAAGAAGATGGTCAAGGTTCCCTCCTCCCACTCCCCAGAATCTTTTGTTGACAGCGATTGTTTGAACAGGCTGTTTTGTTTTTTTTTTGTTTTCTTTTTCTAAAAAAAAAAAAAAAAAAAAAAAAAAAAAAAAAAAAAAAAAAAAAAAAAAAAAAAAAAAAAAAAAAAAAAAAAAAAAAAA